AGGGCGCCGCCGGCGCCGCGGAGCTTGCCCGCGCCCCGCCCGGCGCTCACCCGCGGGCCGGCACTGCAGGTGGTCGTCCCCCAGCTCGTAGCCCGGCGCGCAGCTGCAGCGGCGCCCGCCCGCCGCCTCCAGACAGTAGTGCGCGCAGCCGCCGTTGTCCACCGAGCAGTTGGAGAAGCTCACCTCTGCGGGACAGGGGCGCGCAGGCCGAGAGCGGCGGTGGCGCCGCGCCCGCGCCGCCCGCCCGCGCCCCGCGCCCCGCGCCCCGCGCCCCGCGCCCCGCGCCCCTCACCGTGCTGGCAGAAGCGGCCCTCCCAGCCCTGGCCGCAGTCGCAGCGGAAGCCGCCGATGCCGTCTGTGCACGCGCCGTGCCCGCAGCATGGGCTAGCGCACTGGTGCTCCAAGGGCCGGGCCGCGCACTGGTCACCGTCTGCGACACAGGCGGGCGGAGGTGTGGGGTCACTGGTATTGCCAGCCCCTCCCTGACCCCCAGCGGCCCAGAGAGCCTTTAGGCGCGGGCACCCGCAGCCCAGCAACGGGGACGCACTCACCGACGTACTTGGACCAGAAGGCCAGCTGTGGGGAGAGCGGCAGCGTCGGGCCCGGCAGCCTGGGTGGGGCGCGGCGGCCCAGGTGGGGCAGGGCAGCCTGTGCGCGCGCAGGTGAGGCGGGGAGGGCCTTCCCCACAAACGGGGGTCAACCCCTGACGATCGCAGGCTGTTAGGAGCAAGTGCTCCTTGCCCCGCAGTCCCCACCTCCCACCCCGCGCCCACTCCGCCCACGTCTCAGGGACAGTACCCTCCCCGCGCGGCGGGAGCCCTACTTACTGCTCTGTCTGCGCCACAGCAGCCTCTGCGAGGGAAGGGACCCAGAGACCCCCATCGCCCCCCAAGCCCGCCAGGCCGCTCTGTCCCCTCCGTCCCCTCCCGCGCACGCCTCCGTCTCTCCCTGAGCCGGCGTCCTCAGAGCTGGTGAGAGGCAGATTGCTGCGGAGAGCGTTTCTAACCCGGCGGCACGCGTGCTGCGCTGAGCGCAGGACACCTGAGACCGCTGGGCCGCTGATGCCTGCGCTGTCGGGCAGGCCCAGCGCCCAGTGACCATGGGTGATGTCACGGAGCCATGGCAGGGACTCGCTGTGCCCATATTGTGCCTTAAGAAAATCATATGGCATCGGCTGAGGAGGCCATTTGGGAAACAAGGCAGTGGAGACCGAGGACCCAGTCCAGGAGGTGAAGGCCAAGGGCAAGAGAGGGACAGGCCGAGCGCCCCTTTTGCCTGGGAGAGGCATCCCTACAGACACTTTGGGAGGAGCCCCAGCTCCCAGCAGCAGAAGTAAGTCCTCGGGAACAGAAAGGGCCTGAGCTTTTTATCAGGAAGCCATCTCCCTTACCAAGCCCACCCTGCCACCTAGGACCACCTCCATAGGGCCCTGGGGACTCTGGAGGACTCTGACGCTTAGGCCAGAAGGACCCAGACCCTTTCTTCAGATCCCCTGGGCAGTCAGGATTTCTCCCTTGAGAACTGGACCCGATTCACACAGGGAGTGAGGACATGCGACAGGCATCGGGGGAGTCCAGGTAGCACATGCCTGATCCTAGGGTACATGAGTGGAAGCAGGGTGACGGCTGAGACAGAGAGGGGAGGCAGGGTGTCCTGCAGCAGCTGGAGGGGAGACTGAACTCCCTCCAGGGGGTTGGGTGGGACTCGCCTTCACTCTCTCCTTCCTGGAACTCATTGCAGGGCTCTGTTTCTTCCAGTCTCATGTGCCCAGCCAACACCATAGAGCCAGCGTCCTAATCACTCCACTCAGCCACCCCCAGCAAGCTGGGGTGAAGAGGGGCTGGTGCCCACCGCCCCCCAGCCTCCCACTGGGCCTCCATGCTCAGTCTCCGCTGGTCCTCCAGGCTCCAGCTGACCACCAGCCCACCCTGAGCCTCATCCTCTGGACCTGGCCAGCCAGGTGACCTTACTGTGTCTTCCACGTTTTGGAAAATCTCCTTGGCCTCCTCAAAGTCACAGATCTCCTCTGTGCACTCCCGCTCCAGGCTGCTGGGCCGGAGCTCCTCCAGGAAAGTGTTGGCACGTTTGACCCGCAGCACCTGGTGGGCATGCTGGCTGCTGGAGAACACCGAGTCTGCTTCGGGGGGAGGGGGGCTCATGTTGGTGGAGGGGCCTGAGACAGGCTGGGGGCCTGCAGGGGTCTGAGAAAGCCAAGCTGGGACAGCCTGGAAAGGTCTCATCTCAGGCCCCTTAGGACTTGTTCTAATTCCAGGTCACGATGCTGCACCTGCTCCTCTGCTCTTCCTTGCAGGAAGCAGATGACAGTTGGAAGACAGAACCTCCCTGGGAACCCCAACCTGACCTCTGCATGACCTTGAGCCAGTGTCTTAACTTCTCTAAACCTCAATTTACTCATCCAGAAAATGAGGAGGAGATCATCATGTGAAACAATATAGTCAGCACATGGCACAGCAGTAAGCACTCGGTGCCAACGCTGGCGCAGCTGCTAGGACTGCAAAGGCAAGTGGCCTCCTTGTTCTCCCAGTATACCTCGTGCAGCCACATCCCCTCCCCCAGCATCCCCCATGTCCTCCTTGGATAGGGACACCTGAAGGGCAGACAGACCTGTCACCCAGTGCGTGTCACCAAGTGCCTCCTGGGCTCTGCAAGGTGTCTGTCTTGGGTGCAGGGGACAGCTAGGAGGCAGGGATCCCGGCGGGGGCGTGAGCATGAGGGGTTGGAGGGAAGGGCCCCCAGAGGGAGGTGTACCAGAGCTGAGTCTGGACAGATGAGCTCAAGTAGACCTCGGGCTGTGGGGAGGAGGCCAGGCAGACGAGCAGCTCGGGAGGAGGCACCAAGACCTCCAGTAGCCTGGTGTGACTCCAGGCAGGTCATGAGGTCACGTGTCCTGCAGCCTCTGGAGAATCATGGCCTCCTCCTGTTGGCTGAGGGACTAGGAGAGGGGTTGGGCGGGGCAGCCACACAGCAGATGAGCACCAGGGGAAGAGAGGCCGTGCCCGGGGCCTTCACAGTTGCGGCAGTGAGTGGGTGGAGAGGGAACACAGGGACCCTGCTGAGGACGGAGCTTCAGGAGGTAAGCACAGGGCTCCCTGCCACGCCTGTGCCTGCCCTCACAGCCCGTGTCGCGTCCACAGCTGGCCTGCCCCATCTCACCCGAGGCTCAGAGGGGCTGCCGAAAGGCCTGAAGGCCTGGCAGGGGCCAGCCAGGGGCCGGGGGCCTGTGGCCTTACCAAGAGGAGTTGGTAAGCTGCAGATTCCGCAGGTGGCCACGGACAGCAGGAGGCTCGCGAGCTGCCACATTCCGCACCTGTCTGAGGAGGACTTGTGAGCTCCTAGCAGCACCCAGCCACTGCTCTGCCTGCACCCCCAGTGGAAGCCGAATGAAAGGGCTGTTCCTGCATGCTGGTGGCCAGGGTGAAAGCTGGGGGGAGGCGGGTACTTGTTCACCAGACAGATAGCCGGAGCCTAGGTCGTCTTCTATGTATGGAACTAAGGTCGGACCACCTGCGCCAGAAGTGGGAGGCACACAGGGTCTTTGGGAAGGTCAAAGGGACTCAGCCAAAGTGCGGTAGAGCGTGCATGGAATATCTGTGCCCTCCCTTGCCTTGCTCTTCAGCGATGGCTAGGAGCGGTGGGCTGGCTGCCTTTGCTGGTCTGACAGCTGGGCTGAGAATAGCTAACTGTGAGTAGACACTTAGCGTGTCTTTCAAGCAATGTGTACATGATTAAGAAGACAGGCATGAAGCCAGACCATCTGGTGCCAATTCCAGTTCCAGCACTTACCACATGGCAATGTTGGGCAAGATGCTTGCTTAATTGTTCCATGCCTCAGTTTCCTCATTTGTAAAATAACAGAATAACTGGGTTTCTGCCATAAAGGGCATTGTGAGAATTAACTGAGTTAATCCACATTCAGCTCTTAAAACAGGGTTTGCACATAACAAACGCTTGGTAAACATTAGCTACTATTACCTCAGTTAAGGCTCATGGCCACCCAAGAGGTAGGTATTAATTTTGTCACCCCCATTTCATAGAGGGGGAAACTGAGGATCACAGGGGTTGAGTAGCTTATTAAAAATTCATGACCAGGAAGTGGCAGAACTAGGACTCCAGAGGTCTAGGACTCAACTAGGTCTTGAGGCTCCAGTCCTGGATCTTAACCCCTACCCCCAACCACTGAGCACCCCCCAAGGCCACAGAGGTAGCCCTGCCAGCTGGAGACCAAGGAACCCTCTATTGCCCGCAAGACCCCATGAGTAGGCCTGAGTGCTGTATCCAGCTCCCCTGCCTGGCCTGCCTCTCCACTTCTGCTCCCTGCCTCTAAGGCGGGTTCTGATTTTTGTTTAACTCTGAGGCCCCAGGTTCGGAGGTGAGAGTAGAGTAAGGAGAATAGGGGTCCCAGGGATAGCTGTGGCCCTGGACACCCTTGGCCAACTTCCATTTGACCCGCAGTCTGGAAGAGGGAGGCGCGTGATGAGAGGGGCTCCCTGGCCTCTGGGCCCCAGGGCTGCGGAACGGCAGCCAGTGCCTCGGCCTGCCCAGGGCTGGGCCTCACTTCTCTTTGCCCCAAGCTCCGGTTAGTCTCGAGAACCCAGGTTTGAGGATTTGACCTTCATCACTACTCCGTCCTCCTCTTCCTTCTGCACCCTCCCTCTGCACCCCCCACAGATCTGCGTCAAAGGAGACTCACAGGGGTGGGTCGTGGAGAGACTGCACGTTCTGCCTCCTGCCGCCATGACAGCCCGGAACTCGGGTTAATCCATAACCACGAATGTTTGCTTGGCCTTGAGCACCGAGGCCTCCCTCTCCAGAGACAAACAAACAAGCGGCTCACACTCCTGGTCCCAGCCCAAGGCGGCTCGGTTGGCCTAAAGCCCACCTCTGCCCACCAAGGATGCCGTGCAGAAGGAAGGAGGAGAGGGATGGGTACCAAACTGTTGATGATGTGGTCTCATTTTAACCTCATGGTGGCTGGCTGAGGTGAGGACGTTGTCCCTGTTTTGCAGATGGGGACATTTTTACCCAGAGATATTGTAGTTTACCCAAAATCAGCACAGGTAAGGATTCCACATTTCATCAAATCTAGGATGACATTAATTACAAGATGCACCTGTTTTATGTGCCAGTATAAAAAAGACAGTCACCATGACATGCTGTCCTGATTTCTGATGCATAAAAACATGAAAAGATAAGCCTCTTGGGGTCCCCACCACACGGGTGTCGGGTGACGGCACTGGGCTAGACCCTCTCCTTTAATCGCTGTGTGACGCTCCCACATGCGCACGCGCGGCTGCGTGCGGCCAGTTCTGTAACCTTTACTTTTGCAGATGAGGAGGCTCTGCAGTCTTGTGCTCCTCACCCAAATTCACCGAGTGGGTGTGAGGAGGGTGCTGTGGCTAGCTTGTGCTCCGGCACAGGATTCAGAAATTGGAAGAAGAGGCGAGTGGCAGCAGGCAGGTGAGACATGCTCCTTAGGTCGGGGTACAGGGCAGTGGTGAAAAGCATGGCTGAGAACATGGCGGGCGCTCATATACGGCTCTGCACAATAGTGGCAACACGCCGCGGGAAAGCGCGATCACGTGGGTTCACACAGGAGGTGACACCCTGGTTACGCGAGTGTGCTGACTCACGCCTCCCCACCAGCCCAGCTAGCCTGGGGGCCCGGGCCAGAAAAAGCACTGAGGCAGTCATCTTAGTTTGGCCTAAGAAACCTGTTGCCTGTACAAATACACTTTCTCTTACAGTGGGCAGTTGGCAGACCCAAATTGGAACTCAGGTCCTTCTAGCTCCCATTGACCACTTTTGTGAACAAATGAGAAAAAGGAACAGGACTCTGGAACAGCTGCAGCGAATCCCGTAGAGGATGTTAGAGAAGACAAAAAGGCCTGGGTAAAGGGACTGTGAGAAAGGTGCACATCTGACAGTCCTGTAAACAGGACTTGGGACATGATTGCTGTAGCTGGCTGCACACAGCAGGCTTTGGGACTGCTGTTCCGTCCCAGCCCTTTTCTTTATGGCCTTAAGGAGCAACAAGCAAATAACAAGATAAATATAACCTTAATGTATATCGCTAAATGGACTTGTTTAGAACAATGCACTTGCTGTACAATGCCAAGGGTTTTATCTACATGTTCTTTACTGTGAACACGTTTGCCTTTCCCCACAATCAACATGGAGATTTGGAGAGGCTTGAGAGCTCTTTGAAAGGAAAAGAGTCAAAGAGCCTCTCCTCCTCCTTCAGCCTGAGACTGTGGTCTGGAGCATTCTTCGTTGCGCTGTGACGCTGGGAGAGACGCTGGACAATCTCTACAAGTTCCTGGCCAGAAAGGAGAAGGGCAGGAACAAAGGGTCCGACTAGGAGCCTTTCCCTGTGCCCTGCGGTCTATCAGCATTGATTAGGCATCTTCTTCCCTCTACCGGGCTGTACCCAAGATGCCCCCATTCCTTCCCTGCCTTACCCTCTCCTCAGAGGGCTTGCCCAGGCTCCTCCTCCAAGTCTGTGCCCCTCAACGGCTCCTGTCGATTGCACCTGGCCCAGCTGATCCACCATATTTCCCCAGCCCCCGGCTGGGCCTCAGGCCTTCAGCCCGCTGTGGGCGTTGGACTAGGAAGAGTTTGAAGCCAGTGGGATCCATGTTTGGGCCTAAAGTAGAGGAAGCTGATGAGAAGGAAGATGCAGACGTGTAGAGAGAGGCTGAGGCATGAAAGCAGGGAGACCTGGCGAGTCCCCGGGAGCACAGGGAGTGGCCCCTGCCTCCCAATGATCAGTGGCACATCATGGCTTTGAGTTCATGAGGGTCACCACACCCTCCCAGAAACCCCCTTCTTCCTTAAGTTTCCTTGAATTGGCCAAAACAGCTTGTGTTCTTGCAACCAGATGGCACGGCACCAGGCCAGGCTGTGGAGAGGAGCAGGATAAAACTCTAAGGAGGCAGGCCCCCAGTGTGGGGCCAGGGGCAGATGCACCTGGGAAGTGCTTACAGAATTCAGAGGAGAGGGAAATCGGCACCAGCTGGGGTGGCCAGGGAAGGCTGCCTGGAGGAGGTGGACATCAGGTGGACATCAAAGGGCAGGTAAGAAGATGGCCCCCCCAGGTGAGGAGGGCCTGGGGAGGCACAGAAGACAAACAGCTGGGGGGGAGGCGTCTGAGAGGTGGGTGGAGGGGAGGTGGAGGGTGAGGTGACAGAGTTGGGAATTGAGCATGTGGGAAGTGGGGAGCCAGAGGCTGTTTGTGAGGGGCTGGGGCCACAGCCTGGAGGAGGGGAGCGGAGCGCCTGCAGACTCAGGCAGGAAGCATGAAGACCCTGTGCATGGCCACACACAGGGGCGGCTTGCACGCAGAGGGACTGGTGAAACGCCTCCTGCTCAAGTTCTTGCTCCGAGTGTCGCCCCCACAAGTCTGCGGGAGTCACCACACCGCACCTTGCCTACCAGCGCGCCTTCCCGCCTGACTGCGTCATTCAGCCGCCCTGAGCCTCAGTTTCCTCATCTGTAAAACAATGGCAATAATAGCGTCCACTTCAGGCGGTGGTTGTGAGGATTCAACATTTTATTTTATTGATTTTTGAATTTTTTAGACAAAGCGGACCCGGCCTGGGACTTAACAGGTGATCAATCAACACGCTTCCACTCGGCTCCCCAGGAGGAGGGACGCTTCTCGGGGCTTAAAGCCCGAGCCTGTGACGGTCTGGAAGGGGCAGGGGAGGGGACAGCTCTGCTTGGCGCCGCCAGCTCCGGCCATTCGGAGTCAACCTGGCACGCACGCGCGCGCGGTGGCGGCTGCGGGGCCCCAGCAGAGCCTAGAGGGTTCCCCGGAGCTCCCGTTGAGAAGTGGAGTTGGACAACGATGTCCAATGTCAAAACGGCACAGTGTCGCGTTCCTTTTTTGTTGTCAGTTTATTTATTGTGGTGTAATTTACATACAACAAGATTCGCCTTTTTTTTTTTTTGACACAGAGTCTCACTTTGTTGCCCAGGCTAGAGTGAGTGCCGTGGCGTCAGCCTAGCTCATAGCAACCTCAAACTCCTGGCTCAAGCAATCCTCCTGCCTCAGCCTCCCGAGTAGCTGGGACTACAGGCATGCCACCATGCCCGGCTAATTTTTTCTATGTATATTAGTTGGTCGATTAATTTCTTTCTATTTTTAGAAGAGACGGGATCTCACCCTTGCTCAGGCTGGTTTCGAACTCCTGATCTTGAGTGATCCTCCTGCCTCGGCCTCCCAGAGTTCTAGAATTATAGGCGTGAGCCACCGCGCCTGGCCCAAAAGGAGAAATTTTGATAACAGCTGTGTTGGCTGTTTACAAGTAGAGCTGATTCTGCCAGATCCTACCAACAATCATGCTTTTGATAGTATACAAAGTATTGCATCAAATCATGGCAATAAAAAAAGTTCCCTATGTGGCTCTTAAGTACTTAAAATGGAGTTTCAAATTGTCTTTTTGATTTCTATGAAAATTTTAATGAAACTGCAGAAAAAAATGAAAAAATGTTGGTGCTATTTTGTCTACATACAAAGAGACTTTGCCCAAATACAAACAAGACCATTTGCCCATCAGATTGCATATTTGGCAGACAGTGCAAAATTGTAAATTTGTGTAAATTCCATGCAGTCACTGAACTCCTTGCCAAAGAAAATGAAAAGATGTTAGCCACTAAATGTCCTGCACATTTTGCACACCACATGGCTAAAGGTGGGGTGGGGGATATGGGGGGGGTTGCTTCCCTGTGATATTGAGGCTTTCAGAATGAAAGTTTCTGTTTACTTTTCAGTTTTCTCAAAACATGCAAAAGCACTTAATGAGATTTTTGACATTCCAGAAATGAAAACACGTGGCCTTCTTTGAACATGTGCCTGTAAGATGGCTATCATTGTTGCAGAGTAAAAAAGCCAGCCTGCCATAAAATCGTATTTTCAAAGCATGGGACAAGAAGAATGTCCTTGTCTGATTTGGAAATATATTAATAATGAAAATGGAAAGAAGGATTGCAGTCAAACAGTTAAACTGAAATTTTTATGTTGGTTCTCCAAAACTGTTTGATGATCTTTGAAAAACCCATAAGGACCCTGAAACAAAGGATGAACTCACTTACCTTAGTTATTCCATGTTATGTGTAGGTAGTGACAAAAAGTCATATAATGAAAAAGCCTCCTTTTTTAGAGACAAAACAAAATGTCACTAGAAAAGGACAACCAATTTAAACAGGACTTTCTCATTTCTTTACTAAAACTGTAACTTATTTGCAATCTAACTTCAACTTCACAAGTTCAAATTATCTCTCTTCTTTAAAACTATCCCAGCAGTTTGGGAGGCTGAGGCAGGAGGATCATTTGAGCCCAAGAGTTTGATGTTTCAGTAAGCTATGACGAAGCCACTGCACTTTAGCCAGGGCAACAGAGCGAGACCCTGTCTCAATCAATCAATATAACCATTTTCCCTGAGAGAGAGAAGCTTAGTTTACGATGACATCCGGTATGCTTAGAAATGTTTAAAAAGCATGGACATCTTAGACATGGATGTCCTATGTGATGAATTTATCAATGCAAAGGATGACAAACAGCTGTGTTACCAAAACCAGTCTGTAGATACAAAGTGACTGGACATCTTCAGAGATGGAAAGGAATCCCTACAAGTCTAAAAACCTGCTGTTGGCCGGGCGCGGTGGCTCACACCTGTAATCCTAGCACTCTGGGAGGCTGAGGCGGGCGGATTGCTCGAGATCAGGAGTTCGAAACCAGCTTGAGCAAGAGCAAGACCCTGTTTCTACTATAAATAGAAAGAAATTAATTAGCCAACTAATATATATAGAAAAGATTAGCCAGGCATGGTGGCATGCCTGTGGGCCCAGTTACTCGGGAGGCTGAGGCAGTAGGATCGCTGAGCCCAGGAGTTTGAGGTTGCTGTGAGCCAGGCTGATGCCATGGCACTCACTCTAGCCTGGGCGACAAAGTGAGACCCTGTCTCAAAACAAAACAAAACAAAAAAACCCCTGCTGTTGCTGGTAAGACCCTAACTATTCCCTGCTCAGCACTTTTGTTGGGAGGACAGCTGACTCGATGCCGTGGCGGGACTGGCGCCGGCAGCAGTGCGGGTGCGGTATGGCCTGCTAAGGCACAGCCGCAAGCCAAGGGGTTTACGTTTGACTCGATTCGGTTTGATCACTACATTATAGAAGAATCTCCTAAAGGATGCAGGCAAGGAAACAGAATAAGCTGTCATAGGACATTATAGGACAGAAATGTCATTGTTAATTTTTATTTAATATTAGTAACATCTGTTTAGTCCTGTTGTATTCTCCTTTGAAAAAGTCTTACATTTATGCATCTTAATACAAAATGGAAGTATCCAATCATGAGTTAAAATAAATAGCTCGTATTAGAGGACAGAAATATTATAAAACTAACTATGTTTTTCTCATACATATTACTTGTTTTATTAGTTTTATTGCCACCATGAACTAACCTTATTGTTATTTAAAAGTATTTAAGTAACAGAAAAGTAAAAAAATACAGAATACATAATTTCAAGTAAACGTTTTTCATGTTTTATTAATAGTATATAAGTATATGATTTCAAACAACTATCTCTCGTGTTCTGAGTTAAGCATGCGCACCATGTTGCATTCATTCTGCCCGCGCTTCGGTCCGGCGTGGCTCTCCCGGCTCGGGTCTCGAAGCGGCCGCCCAGCACACGTCCCACCTCCCTCCGCCAGCGCCCGTCTGCGCCCCAGGGCGGAAGGGCTGACTGAGACCTGGTCGCTGCCATGAAGGGGCTCAGTCTGGTGATGCAGAAAGCAATGCCGAAGGTGCGGTGAAAAGATTACCCCGGGTAGGCTCTAACCAGCCCATGGCTAGGCTCTCCAGGAAGCCTCCCTGGAGGAGGCGGGCCTCGGCTGGGCCGATGTTGCCGAGGAGAAGCAGGGAAGAGGAGGATGGCTGGAGTTCGGGGAGCAGCGTGTGCATAGGAGGGCGGAGCCGGGCCTCTCCAGGGAGGTGACTGGCCGGACGGATCTGCGCAGCTGGTGACCTGGTCCCAGGCGGGGTGTGCGTCCCTCTCCAAGGCTGCAGCCCAGAAACCCAGTCGCAGAGTCTGGCCGCGGGAGGCCGGGTGCTTGGCAGGCGGGAGCACGGGTCTCCAGTGTTCTGCCGCTCTGGGTCCCGCGTCCTCCGGGCCTGTCCTCTGCCCGGGCCGCGTCCTCCGGGGCCCAGCCTCTGGCGAGGCCACCGCGCCACGCAGCGCCGGCTTCCCGGCTCCGCGGACAGCCAGCAGCCGCCAGGGCCGCGCCCCTCCTCCGCCCCCCA